GGTTTTTTAACCCATATATAGGTTAAATTATTTTTTAATCAACACTTTTTGTATCAAAGGGAAAAGATATTTTTTTAAGAAGCGTCTTCAAAAAAACATTTTTACTAGAATTTGAATTATTGAAAAATTAATTATTGGAATTTAAATTACTGAAAAATTAATTATTAGAATTTGAATTCTGGAAAATGAATTATATTTTTGGAAAACGTTTTCCAAAAAATGTTTTACGTAAAATGAATTACATTTTTCTGAAAAACGTTTTATGATGTTTAGAATATGTTATTTAAATTTTTTTCCACTAATTGTTGAGTTTTTTAAAAATTATTTATTACAAATATTAAATACAATAAATAATATTATTTATCATAAAACTTAATATTATTATTTTAAAAATATTAAAAATTTATTTATTATTAAATATTATTTTTATAATTTTATTAATAAAATATTAATTGGTATATTTTAGTGAAATAAAAAATATTATAAATTATATTAATTATTTATTAAAGTAAGTGTTATATATTTTAAAAATATTAATTAGTATATTTTAAATATCTATTAAAATATTATTAGATTATTATATTAATTTAAATATATCATAATATATTCATTATTAAATATAAAAAAATTATTATATATTTATTAAAATAAAAATATAATATCTTATATTATAATAAATTGATTTTTTATTATAATATAAAAAAATAATATTATATTATTATAAATATTAATAAATATATTTTTAATATTTTAATAATTAATATTTTGATGAAAATGATATTAAAAATATTTTATTAATATTAAATCATAATAAAATTATTTTGAGTATTTATTCTTTGAAGTGAAAAGTTCAGAAAATGACTTACAGAAAATCAGACCGTAAGTCATTTTCCAGAAAACACATGAATTCTGTTGACCAGGAAAATGAATTACGTTGACCAACCAGTTTTCCTCCAACCAAACACTGGAAAACATTTTCCGGAAAACGAATTACATGAAACAAACACGGGAAAACAATTTCCAGAAAACGAATTACATGAAACAAACACGGGATTTTGAGGAAACCAATTCCGTAATTCATTTTACGACAAACAAACAAACCCTAAAATGAATAAAGGTAAAAACGACTAAAATATAAAAGAAGTTATACAATTTTGTTCAAAATATAAATAAGCTGATATACACTGAAGACACATATTTTTAATCACTCATTTAATATAAGTGCATTAATCTTATTTTTAATCTCATTTAATTTGTGTTTAAACACTATATTTATAAATTTGAAAGAAATAAAAAAATCCATATCCACACAACATAGGATTTTGAGAAAATGTCGATTTTAAAATTATCAATGAATCCTAAACTTAATCACGCTCATGCCAATATGACTTTTAAAAAAAAAAAATATTAAGATATTGAGTATTTTAAAAGACAGCAACCAACCGGATTTAGGACATGGTCTAATCAAATTTAAGACATGTTTTTTACACTCATAATCAACAAGTTTGACTATTGTTTCTCATATCTCACATTATTTAGATATGTTTTTTTCAAGTTACATTTTAAACATATATTGATTGAGTGATTGAAGATAAGACTTATACAATCACGTCGTTAATGTTGCTTGGCTCAATTCCTGTTTGTGCAAATATGTCTTAACATATAACGTGTGTTTATTTTTTTGGACAAAAATCTAAATTTTTCATATTTTAATTTTATTTTTCTCCTTTTATTTAATTTTAGTCTAGTACATAGCCATACTGTCACCACATAAATAGAAGAGAAAATCGCCTCAGTGACCAAAAATACCTTATAATATACGATTTTAACCAACTTTTTTTGGATTTGCCAAAATGACCAATAAAATCGCAACGCGATATCAAAATCGCAACGCGATTTAGAAAATCGCAACGTTAAAAAGAAAATCGCAACGGTCAAAAGAAAATCGCAACGCGAGCTTCCAAGTTCGCAACGCGATTTAGAAGAAAATCGCAATGCGATTGATAGAATCGCAATGCGATTGATAGAATCGCAATGCGATTTATAGAATCGCAATGCGATTGAGAGAGTCGCAACGCGATTTAGAAGAAAATCGCAATGCGACTGAGAGAATCGCAATGCGACTGAGAGAATCGCAATGCGATTTATAGAATCGCAATGCGATTGAGAGAATCGCAACGTTAAAAAGAAAATCGCAACGGTCAAAAGAATAGTTAAAAAAAATTTTGTTTCTTAAGATTTTCTCTAAAAGTAGTATCCGCGCGGACGTGGTCGAAGACACGTATTACCACGACCACGACCACGACCACGACCACGACCACGACCACGACCACGACCCGACCCGACCCGACCCGAGATGAGACGGCGGCGGCGGCGGCGCGCGAGAGTCCCCTTGTCCTCTTTCACTCACAAGGAAGTGCAAAATACAAGCCTTAATACCATTCCCAATAGTATTTCCAACTATGTGGGATTGAGCATTACCAACACTTGTTCCAATATCATTATTCTTCATAAGTTATCATCCATTACAATATGAATTAGTCGTGTTAATGAACCATATACCTCATTAATATATGGTATTGTTGAACAAAAGAATGATGATGAGATCTTATTAAAGACATCTAATACGAAAGAATCCAATGCATAATCGATACTTATTGTGAAACTAATTCACATAGAGGTTGTACGTGAAAAAAAAAAATTTTACTTTTATAGTAAATATCTATCTCAATAATTTTAATATAAAAATATATTTATTTAATAATAGAATTATTTCATGTATTTATCAAGTTATAATTTTAAATACTTATTAAAATGAATTAATTTATTATCGATAATTCATATTGTAATGGATGATAACTTATGAAGAATATGATGATTTGGGAACAAGTGTTGGTAATGCTCAATCCACATAGTATTGGAAACACTATTGGGAATTATATTTAAGGCTTGTATTTTGCACTTCCTGTTGAGTGAAAGAGGACAAGGGGACTCTCGCGCGCCGCCGCGCGCCGTCTCGTCTCGGGCGGTCGGGTCGGGTCGTGGTCGTGGTCGTGGTCGTGGTCGTGGTCGTGGTCGTGGTAATACGTGTTTTCGACACGTCCGCGCGGATACTATCTTTTAGAGAAATTCTTAAGAAACAAAATTTTTTTAACTATTCTTTTGACCGTTGCGATTTTATTTTCAACGTTGCGATTCTATAAATCGCATTGCGATTCTCTCAGTCGCATTGCGATTCTCTCAGTCGCATTGCGATTTTCTTCTAAATCGCATTGCGTTCTATCAATCGCATTGCGATTCTATCAATCGCATTGCAATTCTATCAATGCTTGCGATTTCTTCTAATCGCGTTGCGAACTTGGAAGCTCGCGTTGCGATTTTCTTTTTAACGTTGCCGATTTTCTAAATCGCGTTGCGATTTTGATATCGCGTTGCGATTTTATTGGTCATTTTGGCAAATCCAAAAAAAGTTGGTTAAAATCGTATATTATAAGGTATTTTTGGTCACTGAGACAATTTTCTCTAAATAGAATGCGCTTTTTATAAAAACTTTTTTAAAATATGCTTTCAGCAACAAAAAAAAATTTGTCTTAGGTGACAACAATTTGTCAATCTGAAAGATAATCTCAAAGGAGTGTTATTTTTAATTATTTTTCAGGTGATATTTGGATAAAAAAGAGGACAAAACTTTGTATGTTACTTTTTTGTGCGCCTGTTAATACATTGTTTATGTTACTGAGATGTCCGTTTGCTTGAATTGAACAGCTCAAGAACTTTGCTTTAGACATCCTGAAGCGGGGATCCAAGGTGTGGGTGGAGGAACTCCAAATCAACCTCCACAAATTCTTCGACACCACTGAATCCGAAATCTCCAAAGACGGCTCCTCATCTTTCGTCTCTCACCTCCAAACCTTCCTCTTCAACTTAAGCAAGTCCCTTCTCGGAGCCGAACCTGCCCTCGACCCTGGTGTTGCCGATTCCGGCCCCTTGGCCATCAACCTATGGCTCGGCCTCCAACTCCTCCCAACCGTCCCCATCCTAGCTTTTCAGCCCTGGTTGAGATATTTCTTCACTCCTACGCTTATCCTTTCGCCCTCGTAAGTGGAGGTTACATAAAAACTCTATGGCTTCATCGAACAGCACTGTAAAGAGTTCAGTGCGGTGTAAAAGAGTTCGGCCTTTCAAAGTCCGACACATCCACAACTTGATCTTCATTCTCAGGTTCATGCGTATTGTGGTTTCTCAGCTTTTCTACCCACATTATTAGGCACCATAGCTAGTGACAAAACTGGGCTACAAGCTAGGTGAAAGACATGGAGCTAGTGAACTCTGTAGTTTACGAGACACTGCGTTTGAACCCGCCGGTTCAGTTTCAATACGCGCCAGCTAGGAAGGACTTCCAACTCACTTCTCATGACTCGTTTTTTCGACATTAAAAAGGGTGAGTTGCTTTGTGGGTACCAGCCTTTGGCCATGAGGGATGGTAAAGTTATTGAAGAACTGGAGGGCTTTAGACCGGATCGGTTTGTGGGGAAAGGGAAAGAATGCTGAATTACTTTTCTGGTCGAATGGAGCGCAGACCGGGTCACTGACCGAGTCGAATAAGCAATGTGTTGCAAAGGATTATGTGACACTGTCAGCTTCACTAATTGTAGCTCACAAGTATCAAATGTATGATTCAATCAGTGGGGATTCTGGTAAAATCACAGCCGTCGAGAAGGCGAATTAGAACGAGTATATAGGAGGACAGAGTATTAGTAGATCGTCTCTTGACCAATGTTCCTTTCATCAAATAAATAAGAATGGATAATGATATTAAATAAAATAAAAGAATGTGTACTACTATGCCTATATTAGACTGCCCATAGGATTACTCTGGAATCCATGATGACAATAAATCTTCCAGAATCAACACATGATATTGCAAACTGAACAGTGAGAAAAATAAAGAAAGCAATGCGTTTCTAATGATCTTCTTCCTATCAGGCCATGGTGGATCGTTAGACAAACTGGAGATTACCTTGCAACTGTGTGCGAGATTTGTGGACCTTTTCTCTCCACCCTTTTTGACGAGCTCTTATTTCCCACCTTGCTGTCAATTTCATCTGAGCTGACAGTGCTTCTTCAGCTTTCTCCCTTGCTTCTTCGCATGCCTCCATACCCGAATGCATTTGTCCGCTCCTTTTGATACTGAGACGTTCACTTCTTAGCCTCAAGTAATGCCGTGTCGGCACGTTGCTGACTTTCCAAAGCTTCAGCTTCTCTAGCTTCAGCCCTTCCGTCAAAAGTTCAGCAAAGTGCGTTTCAGTATCCTCATTCACCCCCGGATCATGATTTGCGGAGTCCACAAATATCAAATTCAACCTTAAAGGAATCAGCCATTTAAAACATAAATGAAACCTAAATCACTAATATTACCCGGGAATAAAATCATTTCCTCTACAATTATATAAACATTTAGATGAAGGCATTAGCTTCCGTCAATGCAATAGAAGGGTCATTACATTTTATGTTACATACACATCTAGATTACCTTGGATCAAATATTACCAATATTAATTATCAAGCAAGCAATCCCAACATTTAATCTCTTTGAGACAACATAAAAGGTAAACGAAGGAAGCAACGGGCGGGGATGTGTCGTCCAAATTTTTCTTAGAAACCATGTTTCTTTCTGCAAGAGTTACTACTTTATCTTATATAAGCGTTACAGTGACAAAGTTCAAAATTTTCTCAACTATCATCCATTAGCAATCGATCTTAAAAACAAAGCATGGTTATGCCATTGTTAAAAACCAGATCCTGGAATCAATCATGTAGAAAGCATTGTTACATAATCATTCAATCATTATTAAAAAAAATCTGGGTGTGGTGTTGGTAAATCATGCTGAGTTTTTCAAGTGATTAGAGAGCAAAGACAGTAGCATAAGAAAAATTATGGAATATACCGATCACAAATCATGATATAACATCTGTTAAGGAAAAGTTGGTACCTAAAAGAACAAAAATACGAGCAAAACGGTGAAACAGTAACCAAAAAACCCAGAAGAGGTAAAAGAACAAGGGTAAATTTCTTTGTATTACGTCAGTTCTATATTGCAATAAATACATCGATGATAAAGAAACTGGAAACTGACCTGCAAAGGAAGCATTGTTCAGTCCTGCATGAACCAAAGACATCAATGATAAAACCCAAGACATATCAAATGGAAACGAGAAAAGATGAAAGAAGATCTTGGGGGAATACCTTCAGGGATTGTGCGAAGAGGCTGAGAAGAGCAATCGCAGAGGCAAGGTGAGCAAGTGGTGGAAGTGTGGCTGACGGCTGCTAATCCTTCCATGAAATGCCAATATAGAGGTGGACCAACTATGTAGCCGAATAAACACAGTCCCAATACACACAACCCCACCTTCAACAACGCCGTCTGGTTCACTGCCATCTCTTTTAATGAGATTTACGTTTCTGGTTAATTGGAAAAAAAATCAAGACTTGGGAGATTGAAGCAGTATCTGGGTAGTTGAATTTATTTAGATTCTTCATGAATTTAAAAGGGCTATGAAAGGACTTTAACTTGATATTTATGTTCATATATGTATGTAGAATATGAGAAAAACTAATTATTATTATTTGATATTCCAAAAGAAAGATACAAAATATTATATTGTTTCAATAAGCTAAATTCTCAACCCATAAGTCATACACATAGAAACAAAAACTAATGTCAAGCAAGTTGACTTGAATATGGTGGAGGAAGGAATCCCAAATTTTCCTCTTCTAAACAAACCTATCATAAATGGACGAAAGCATTGCACCACCCAAAGGCTACAAAAGATCTCCCCTAATTCTACCCTCAACTTTTTCCCATCATCATGAACTAGTGATGTCAACCTTAGGGAAAAAGTGAGCAGTGCTACGAGGTGCACCAGCAAAAGGGTCGTGCCCGGCACAAAAATCGCGACTCGTCGAAAGTAAACTTCGTTTTACTGTCGACTGTATGTCATCTTCGTCATCGGAACCTTGATCATCTTTCTCTGTAACTTCGAAAACCGTATCAGACAATCCTAAGATTTTGAGAACGACACTTAAAACTCCAAATAGATATGCTGAAGTTGCCGTAATTATTCCCATCTCATATTATCCACCATGCTCGGATCGACACGCCGATTTTTAAGTATTCCCTGAGCGTCAACATGTTGTACGTCACAAAAATGGTGACCGGAATCAATATAGCTGGGTCATTGGCCTGCATTAATCGTTAAATCTGATTAGCTCAACTACCGAAACTTACAAGATCAAACATTCTCAATAGATCATTTTTTCCTCACCTTGGGCAAGAAATGAGAGTTGGAAATGATACAATAAGCAGGAAGAGTTGCATAACACAGCTGAGGAATCGAGGAAATCCCCAAGAAAGAAAGTAGATATAGAACACTGAGGTTCTAAAGTGGAGGTTTCCGGTGAAGGTGACAAATATTGGGTTGTTTCTGCTAACAAGGATTTCAAGTAGGCCAGTCGCCATCTTTTTTGTTGAACCATTGCTGCTGGTCCCCCTGATGGTGCACACCCTAAAAAGGCTGGCGGGTATGGCATTGGAAGGTTGATTTCCACCTTTTTTATGAATTGTTAACCCTGTTAACACATCTTCCGTCATGGATCCTATATCCTCCAAACTGGAAGAAAAAAGAAAGTCGTGTATCAATTAATACGGAAATTTATATTTTAATCATTTAGTTTGGATTAGAGTTTCTTTGAATAACCTTTGTTCCCCAGGACGAACCGAATTCGTAGTCACAATCTGCAACTTGTAAGGCTGCTTCAAGAGAAGCTGAAAGTTCAGTTTGAATTCCCTTCTCCTCTTTTAATGCATGAGTTGCTGATTTCCCAAACTCTCTTGATTTCCCAAACTTTTTCATCGTTCGTAATCAGCTAAATTTCATATGTATAGAAAGAGAACCATAATGTATAAAAAATAAATATAAATCGCGTTTAAAAATAGCATACCGTTAATTAACGAATGGTTAGTTGCATGATTATCTGCTTGATCAGGCCATGCGCCATAGATGACTTTTCGTCTGTGAAAGCACCCTGTTCCGCCATAAGGAGGTCCTTGCAGTCCCGCTAGTCCACGCCCCAAATTCTATTATATATTCAAAGTATCGGTGAGTTGTTGTTGTTTTTTATTAATACATGAATTGATTATAAGATAGTATTTATTTAAAAAAAATTTAATCAATTGATAACACACATCCTTTAGACACAATTATTCAAACACATAACTATAAAAATAACATTCATTTTAACTGAGATCATTCAATAACTGAGTAAATAAAATGAGAAGATATATGGGTGTGAATGAAAATGCACTCACTTCAACAAAACTACCATCTGATTTCCGTAGGGATCGTCCTTCAACCCATTATAGAAACATTGAGGATATTGAACAAATCCCACGCTTTTTCACTCTCGCGACCAGAAGTTGGCACATTGCTTGACGAACCACTTTGGATTGTTGACGAACATATCACAGTCCACGTTCAGCATGACGGCGCATTTGTCATCAATCCCGACACTCTACACTATTTTTAGAAAAAATATAAAATTAAATAATTAATCTAATTAATTAAAACAAATATTCATATAATAGATATAAAATAATGCCATTAGAACCGACAGTTCATAATATGAAACTGAATGTGTTAGATTTTTTTTTGTTGGGCCAGAGTCGTGATTCTTTTGTAATAACGAATTATTTGCCGAACAGGGAATTTTTTTTATTAATATGGGGTAAGTATGAGATAGTATCTGTTTAAAGATAACTCTTAATCATTTGACATTGTACGCTGGTATCCCTCACATTGTTAGTGTTCAAACCAAACAAAAAAGAATAATAATAATTCATTTAATATCGAGGTAACTAGATTCCTGCGCCGGACAGGGAATCTAAGTTTAATTAATTACCAGAACGTTCATGGCACCTGCTTTAAAACGATGTGGATGCTTTGGCCTTTCTCTCTCGAAATGTAAACCAAATGCGGCACTTCTGGTTACTTTCAGTTTCCTGTTTATGCTCTCTTATGATCTACACAAAACAAGTCCAGTGCTTCCAAATTTAACCATATATGTATACGTATAATTTGTTTCCATTTTAAATAAGTTACCTTGATTATGGTTGGATGGTTGCCGGTTTCAATGTTGCCGAAAACAGAAAACTCGCCTGTAAGCTCACATGGAGCTGATTTTCGGCCTGCTTCCTTTATTTTTTAGGCTAAGCTGTTCATACTCTTCCTTAATCTTTTTCCAGTCTTGTTTGAACTCGGAATTTGCAGAGGATATAGGTTCTTCCAAGAAGTATCTAAAGGGCCCTAACTTGTATTCTATACTTCTTACAAAATGGAACCCAAAGCTAGCAAATCCTGAAGCTTCCACCAGAATAAAAGGTGAGAGCGGAGCAACCGTCGTCTGATACATAGCAAGCTAGCTTGTCCGCTGGATATCCACAGCCACACAAGAGAGGACATGTTTATTGTCATAATAGGCGGTTCTCGCTCCGGTCGCAGTCGTAACGAACATGTCCACAGCGGGAAGCTCCGCAACCTGACAACAAGCATGTGAAGTATGAGCAGTATACTTGGTAACAATTTATGCATGTAGGATCTTCCACCTTCGTTCAAGGTTATCAGGGGTTTTGATTTCCACAGGATTCCATTTGGTGCTGACAATGATAGACCAATTGAAAGTGAACCAAGACTCGCATAAGAAAGCAAGGAGCCACACAATCCATGGTTTTAAGAGAGAGAGACGATAAACCAGAAGGGATATGAGAAGGAACAGAAGAGTGACGTCCATTGCTCTTTGGATGGTGTTTTTAACGGGCAATTTTGTGATACATGGGAAGGCTGATTTCACTGGCCATTCCAAACTGCCTGGATTGGATATGGTAACTATAGCCTCCTCCCTAGCTTTTTAATACCATTTCTACAAACACTATGTGAGCCATTGGACCTCTTCAAGATTGGATATGATTTGGTCAGCTTGGCCCCACTCTTCTTCTTTAGGTTAAATGTGAATAAAACTCGTTTGGAATTGACTTAAAAAAATTAATTTTTTTGAGATATAAAATATAATTCGTAAATTAAATTAATTTTAAAAAAATATTTTAATATAAAAAAATATTTTTGATTTAATTTCATAATTAAGAACTAATATATAATTTTTTAATATTTTGATTTCTTAAACAGAAAATTAAGTAATAGTTGAATAAACTAACTCGTTGTTTACATTTTAGAGAAGGGTGTATTTCCCGAAAAATCACCGGTGATCGGTATATTTACCGATCTAACACCGGTCAGATTATATTTCCCGATCTAATACCCGTAGCAGTAAAGCGTCCATCTGAATCGCGCTATATGCTGATTTAGCGCCACGTGGGGTATAGCGCGCCCCCTGATCCACGCTATACGCCACGTAGGGGTATAGCGCGGATCAGGGGTCGCGCTATATAACACGTAGGGGTGAATTATATTTAACGTGGTCCCTGGTCCGCGCTATATCTTTATCTGAATAATTACATATAGCGCGGTGCAGGTACCGCGCCTTATATGGTTATAAATACCCTCCTCTGCCGGTTAAGTTTCTCACATCTCATCGCATCTCTCCTCTCAACTTATAAATTAATACAACAATTCCGTCAACGAGTAATAATTCTGGCAATCTTCTCATATTTGATTTAGAAGTTCGTGCGATTTTTTGTTATAATTTTTTAATTATACTTATTGTTCATTATCATTATTTGAAAAAATATTATACTAATTATTTTCAATTAATTTTTATGTTTGTAAAATTGAAAAGCGGGAGCATACGTCGAAATAGTTTTGCGGTGCAAGTAATAATATAAAATTATATTATTTAAATTATTTATGTTGATGTGTAAAAAATTTATTGTGTTATATTTTCGTTCATATATAATTTATTTAATCAGGTTTGTTTCAGTTATTTTTTTGCAGATATAATATTGCGGTAATTTGAAACTCAAAGAATGACGCGACTTTCAGCTATTGTTTATTATGATGGTGAAATTCGAGAAGATGAAATCGGCGTTGTTTTCGTATCAATTGAGCATGTTAAAATATCATTCAAGAGAAACATAATTCTTGAGGAGCTGATAACGAAGATTTCGAGGAAGATTCATGTTGAAAGTAGTAGAAGAATGTCGTTGTTGTAGTACAGATTTCCAACATCATTGTTGCCATTAACTTATATAGCGTTCGAACTTTCGAACAATGATGATGTTCAAATGATGGTTGAAGCTCAAAGTAATTATTCAGACACCGCTATTGAGATGTATGCACATTTTGTTCAAGTGCGTGCTGTTCGGGGTCAATCATTAAGCTCCCACTATGGGCTGGCTGAATAAGTTGATCAAGTTGACATCCCGACTACAATAATGTGTAATGA